GAGAGTTCCCAGACGTCTCCGATGAGTAGCATGTTGAGGAAGAAAATAATAGTGGCTGGACCGTACAACCAGAAGCGGCCATAAATCTGATGATTCTCCAAGGGGCAGTCAAAGACTTCGGCATTCAGTAGAAATTGAAGCCCAAGCACTGCTTGTGAAATTACCAGGTTCGTCAAAGTGGTCTTGTTGTTAGTGATTAGGCCTGGAATGGTTTTCTTGACTTTGTCTTTAATGACCTTGAAATATCTAGATACACAGCCGGAACCTTGGGCCCCAGAATCTTGGGCCTCGGAATGTTGGGCCCCGGAATCTTGGATCTCAGAATCTGGGGATGATTCGATCACCTGTGGCTCATTACCAGGCTCTGTTCTCGTAACGGACATTTTAGATGAAGATGGAAACTGCAACTATGATGGTAGTCGAAGTAAGTGCTTCCCACTGCGTTATTTATTTATTTATTTGTTCCTTTGCGTTTGATAGGCGAACACAGGCGAATGCAAAGCAAACGCAGGCGAACTTGTAGACGGGCGGAGGAGAGCGATGACGTGCGCGAGGTGAACGCGGGGCGAGCGGTGCGCTTTACTGATGCTTACCTCCTCTCCCCTGAAAAACGAAAACAGAAAAAAAAAAAAAAGATAAAAAAGACATTTGAATAATTTTTAAAAATAACATTTGAACAGGGAAAAATTAAAAACGACAAAATCTTTCTTGTGGTATCCTTTTAAACGAGACCAACGTTACAGAGAGAAAAATGACGCGTAGAAAAGTATATCAACTTTTGCGGCACTTCAGCCCCTTACCATTTCCTCCTCTGTCAAATAGGAAAAGACATATTTTTTCTCGCTCTTGAACAAGAATTTATTTCGTCACAATAATCGTCTTCAGCGTATTTTCAGTTTCCTTGCGTACAGGTTTTCTGACTAGAATTTGACACAGATTTTCAAAGCACCGCCCGCTTTGATCTGGGGGCATTCAGCTAATAGGGAAGCAATCAACGCTTTAGAACCTTCGCGACAATCCGTGCGAGTCAAATCTTTCCGCGCCGAAAATATGAAAGCTTTTAAAAATAAGTTTCGTTTCAAAGTTAATTTCATACGAATTGTGAGTGTGTGAGAAACAAAGGAACCTACTTACTTGAAACTCAATAGCAAATTTTCAAGATATAAGACTTAAGGCAAGGTGAGTGAGCTACAAGGCTTATCCAATCACAGCAGGTTTAACTGATGCTTGAGGCATGGTCAGTACCAAGGAAAATATAATCGATCGCCCCCATGTAGTAAACACCGTTTCTATCAAAACCTTTAATCATCATTTAACTTCTGCTGCTTTTGTTTTGAAAATATCATTTTCTTTCAATCGATGTAAGGAGGCTGTCATGATTCAAACGCGACTCGAGCGGTGTCTCTGGCATAGTTAGCAGCACATTGCAAATTGTATTCAAGAAATAAGTTATGAACCATTTGTCAAAAGGCTCAGAATAATAGCAAGGATGGATGATGTAAATTACGCCTCGAGAATAATCCCTGCGGAAACAAATTGATACTCCAGGGCTGTAGAGGGTCCCTGTCCCTCATCTGCTTTTAACTCAGAGCTTTGTCATTATCGTCAGCAGTCAATAGAAAGATATTTTTGTTTGCTTGAAAATCGTGCAGTCGTGTAATATCCATCAAAATAGTCCACCAAAAGTCACGTCGTTAGTTTTTAGGTTCGACAGCTGGATGAAACGTTTTTATTTACATTGTATGTTTTAGTTAACCATGAAATTTAGATAGGGCGTTCGCTCAACGTTAAAAAATGTCATCGACCAAAGTTAGATCGATTCTTAACGACGCGCAATAAAATCGTTCTTTAGCTCTTTCGGTCGTGAAAGCAGTCGTGTGTGAACTGATCACTCACCAGAGAAAAAGATTCGCGGCTGTGACTTTCTTCTGCACGAAAACAATAATTATCTGGTGGTTTGATTCAATCTGGAGTTGCAACTGGATCAGCTCTATTAATTTTGGTCCATATAAACATGCGTATGTAGCATACAAATCATGACAGGTCAAACGTTTCATTCTGTGGGAAGGTCAATGTCAATTCAATTGTTTCGTCACAAAAACTTAGGTAACGCACGTTCGCTATATTTTCTGTTTTGATTCCCTGTTCGAAAAACGTGTAGCAACTGATAATTAACTGAATTTTTTTGAAAGTAAAGTTCCCAATTTTTCAACTTCGTTTTTTGATCCTAAAGTCAACCCTTATGTATATTGAACCAGTTTATGTTTGTATTGCTATGGTTTTATGACTCAAGCACGATTGTTAATTAACGTATAATCTACCTGAGGCGAACGCATTTACTGAGCACTACTCTTTAGACGATAGTATTTTTTTCGTCTGTATCATTGTTCCTTGACTAACCTCGAGTCTCAAAACCCGCGCAAGATAACGGTCGTTTTCCGGAAGTGTTTTTTTGTCAGGGTCCGAGAGGTTTAACTCTTCCATTAGGGAAAACCCAAAAAGCACAAAACTGTTTAACATCGCGTCTCTAGTGAAAACAATAACCAACGGTTTTACTAAAATATTGTCCACACACCCGAGTAATAAACTTGCTCTTTTGACTATGGTGCTCTACTATCTTGTTCTGGAGGTGAAGCTCGGCTAGTCTACTGTTTATTGATTTGAAATTTAGCATAGAAATGACAACGTAAACGTTTCGTGGTTAGGAGGTCAATTTAAGGTCAGTAGTTTCGTCACAAGGACTGATGTTCAGCACTCACGCTATCCTTCTTGTTAAGATTTCAGTCACGATTTTGAAAATATTTGACGAATTTTGTGGCTGGACTCTTAGTAAAAGAAAAATTCCCAATTCATCAACTTCGTTTGTCGGACTTTCATTTAAATTTTATTTAATCAGTCCCGGTTTTTGTGCTATGCTAGTTCTGGGCCGGTTACTTTTGAACGTGACCAAACTTGAAACGTAACCAAAACATTTCCGTGCGCGTGTGCATTTTCCTCATCGCTCCTTCCTGTGGCATAAGTCTTAAGACAGTGCAACCAAAAACTTCAGACAGCAGAACGATGATAGTAAATTATTTTATTACTTAATTTTCCGTTACATTTCAAAGTACTTATAACTCACGCAGTTGACTTATGTCACGTTCCCAACCTTATTCTTGTTTAGTTGCATGATAATTGGCAAAAACCCTGCAGTCATCGCTTGTAATTATTGGACCAGTTCATGTTTGTATTGGTTCTGTATCGTTATAAGACTTGGGCATGTTGTGAATTAATATATAATTCACCTGCCAGAGACTAACCCTAACTGCTTCTAAGACGATAGTGTTTTTTTTTTTCCGTCTGTATTATTGTTCCTTACTTCTAGTAAAAACTAGCCAGTGGGTTTACGTCCTCTAGCTTGAACATTTTGCGAAGAACAAGTCATTGGTTTCTCTTTTTCACGAGTAAAAAAGGGTCGGCAATCACATTTTCCTTGTTGTACGGTGTAGGTTTGTGGTAAACTCGAGGGAATTTATCAGCTGTCACCAGTCTTAATTGACTTATGCTGCTCATGAAAGACCTAGTTACATTCATTTGTAAGGAGGTGTGCAAAGGTATGTTAAAAAATGTTCTTTCTAACAAAAACCTCCGTTAATTTAGCTCAGATGAAGTGTTTCCGATGAGACTGTCCGTTTCGGCGGGTTCCTGTGTGATTTCATCATTGGTTGTAAATGCCATCTTCTGCATTTCCCAAACTTGTGCTACCATATCTTGTTTGGTGGACCGGCAGCTTGGTGTTTTCATCAGTGTTCACGGCATAGGCTTTTTTCGCAAATTGCTTTGATAGATGTGTTGTGCTCCATCTATTTCCTGGATGGCCATTAGCAGCTCTAGGATAGAGCTTTTTGAACTGGTCGTAAGCATCACGATAATGCCATTTTGGATTTTTCTCCTTATAACCTTTGAACATTTCTGTCACCATTCTTTCGCCAAATTTTTCCGGAATTCCGTTGGGGTAGAGTGTAATCTTAACCTCGTCTTCTCTCTCCTTTTCCTGGCCACCAGTTTCGTTCTCATTTCTTATTTCTTCATCGTGCAAACCCCTAGCGAACTCAGTAAAAGTTTTCTTAGCCCATTTTGCCTCGCGTTCTTCAAAGATGCGCATGTCTAGGGAAAGATACATAAGTAAGCGTAGACCTAGATCACTTTAATAGATATTTGACAGTTACGGCCGAGGCTGCATATTAAAAACACAGTCAAGTCACAGAAAATACTTGAGTATATCGCGAAAATCACACACAGAGAGACTGTCTAAGTTTTGTAGATTAGCTAAAACGTACAGGAACGCCACGCCAGGTTAAAACAAACGAGACTAGTCAAAAGTGCATGCTTCCAGCGTTAACCCTTTGCCTGATCCCCTCCACACCATAATGGCACAACGCAAGAAATATTCAGTCATGGTTCCGCGTAATTTTCAGTGGTGATGCACAATCGAATACTACACGTGCCTCGTCATCAATCAGATTGTACGATTCTAAGAGCGGGCCTCTTACGGTATCGCCGTTATACAACACTATTCGTAAATTAAGAATAAAAAAAAGAAAGAAATTGCGTTACCGTCTAGGATGTCTTGGTCCTTCAGACAACAATTCTTGCTGATGACCATTACAGAAGTTAAGAAAACCATGAGCAAAAATATTGCCCAGGCGAAAATTTGAGATTCGGCACCAGCGGTCTCTACTGCAATGTCGTATTCTTTAAGCTTCTCTGGATCAGTTTCGTTTATCTCTCGGATANAGGAGAGAGCATAGATTTCATGATGCTTCACGGGGCAGTCAAAGACCTCGGAGTAAAGCAGAACCTCGAGCCCCAGCACTGCTAGGGAAATGACCATGTTCTTTAGAGTGATCTTGTTGTTGGTGATAATTCCTGGGATGGCTGGACATCCACCAGCAGCTGAGAGTGTTTTGGTGATTTTGTCTTTAATCGTGCTGAAACATCTAGTTCGGCTAGTAGAGACTGCGTCTGACTCCACGTCGGTCATGGTGGATTGACGATTGAATAGCTCTACCCACGATGGAAAGCTGAAGCTGAGTGGTTCTCGCAGTTTTTGTACGCAGGATAATATTCTAAATCGCCACGGGTAATTGGTGGAAGAGATAAGGAGGTATTGCATTTCACAGAGGCTTCCCTTTCCTTGCCTAAAAAACCTGAAATTAGAATGTTCTGGTTGATTTTTTTCTATTTTTTGGATCATAATGCCGTTTCTCTCAAGTTGGACTTTGAACCAGAAGCGAACCTGTAAAATAATTCAAGTAGTTTGGTCGGTCGTTTCAAAATGAATAAACAAGGACCAGAGATGAAGTGATCTTAGTATCAGTTAGGGCTTCCGCTCATAAAGAACCTTCACATAAATCCCCTTTTCAATACAACTGGAAGTTGAAGGCACAATCCGAACTAAGACAACGACAACAGCAACAAGAAAGGAAAAAAAGAAACTTAAGGATTATCTGACATCA